TTTATATATATATATATAAAGTTTTCACCTTTAAAAATAGACTTCAAAAATGTTTGGGAAGAAGTAAAATATTGATGAATATTACTGTAAGGTAAAAATACACAAGTTATCACTAACAAAACAACTGGTGAAACCCATACCTCGTGGAGCAAAGGCAGTATGAGGCTGCCCTTCAACTACTGTTCCTTCATTTTTACTAGTAGAGCTGGGGGGAGGCATGTTGTTGTAAATCCTCTTATAATGATTGTAGACAGCTACAGACAGAACTTTCTTTGCATAATCTTGTCCAACAACATGCTTTGCTAGATATTCATAGATCTGAAAATAAAAGTAGGACTCTCATGAAATAAAACTTCTGGAAAAATACTGCTGAAATATCACAATTCCAGGTGATAGGATAGTCATTACGAATTTATGAAATCTCTAGATATCAAGATCTAACACTAGAAATCAGAGAGAAAGTCTAGTAAAACAGTGTGTGGGCTATCAGTCATGCTTCCCAATAATATAAAACTGAAACAGAATAGAAAACCTAGAATTATAAGAAACAGTAATAGATATTAAACACATACATCTGTGCCTCTGTCTTTATGGTATTCTGACACAAGTGAAGACATGCAATATATTAAATACACTTAAAATATACAGGTCAGTTTTCATATAAGAGAAATAATTTCAAAATTTATAAAACATAAGAGAATTAAAAATTAATAACAAAATTCACAAAGTAATTATTTTAAAAAAGAACTTGTTTACCAAGGTAACACAAGTTACTACCATGTTACATGAAGTTTTAGTTGTTTAATCATTAAATGATACTTACCAGTAACTATAACTACAAATTGGTATATAGAACTGGTATTGTACATAATTAATAGACCTGGTGACCTCTGGGTCAACTCCAGTGTAAAAGTCTACAAACAAAGATAATGATCAGTATGTTAAAAATTGTTTCAACTTTTCTGTTTCGCAAAGTGTAGAATATACCAATAGAAGGAAGCAGCTTAAAGTCAGACAGAGGTAGAATATACCAGTAGAAGGAAGCAGTTTAAAGTCAGACAGAGGTAGAATATACCAGTAGAAGGAAGCAGTTTAAAGTCAGACAGAGGTAGAATATACCAATAGAAGGAAGCAGCTTAAAGTCAGACAGAGGTAGAATATGCCAGCTAAGAATGCAGTCACGATGGGCTTTTTGACAGCCCTTATTTAGCCAAATCCATGTGTCACGCTAAAAGATGTGGCAACATTCAAAAATAGATTTGGTGATGACAAGGGCAGTAGTGATAGTAGTAGTAACCATCCACCAGATCAGAAGATCAAGAAAAAGGTTTCCAACCTCAAACAGACAATGAAGAAAGGTTGCATAATTTGATTTGAAAAAATAAAGAGATCATCAAATAGTGTGTGGTGACTGTTACTGGTAGGTAGTGAGGCCATTCCAAAACCCCTCTTTGACTCCTCATAACTCCCAACTAGATACAGCAGACTCTGGACTTTCCAACAAAGTATGCAACACCTCCAAGTACTAATTACCAGGTTTCTTGTTCCTTGCCCTGCCACCCAAAACACTACTTTGCATCTGGTTGAGGAAGAGATCCTGTGTTAATACGAGTCTAGATATGATTGAATGTTAGGAAACTGTGTTTATTGACGGCTTATTTATAAATATATCGATTAGTTGGGTATTTTTGATATGTTAATAAACAAACCAGCTTATAGTATGAAAAGATCTTTTTTCATTTTTAGTGTTATAATCTCTAAAGTTCTCATCATAAATTTTTTTCCAGGTTTTCTTTAATCTAGCTGGGAAAAGAACTTCATTATTTGTTCATTGTGCACTATAATGTCTGCTATACGATATGGTTTTCTTGTTGGACGATTTTTTGTTTTTTCAAATTCGAAACATGGTAAGCAAAGATGCATTATAAATTATGTTTAAAAATTATTCATGTTAGAAGATTTCTAAAGTGATCACTGTTTTTAATAAGACAATGAATTTGACGATTTTAGTTTGACTTGTGTTGTTAGGTAGGAGTTTCATTGTACATCCAAACATATAGCACCTTGAAAGTGAAACCCAAATGAACAAGTTTGATGTACTTATATGGTTGGCTTTATTACATTGCAAAAAGAAAAAAAGTGGATGAAATACTTTGAAACTTTGTAATTACTTTCTACAGATAAAACTTCTGTAGATGAAATATATCATTTTTATATCTGATATTTGGATTAATTCTCAGCTTTGAAATTTTGAAAAGATTTCATTGTGATTAGTTTTAAAGAAACAATTAGAAATGCAGTATTTATTGTGTATTTTTATTAATGATTTTTATGTTTCCTGAAGTCTATACAAACTTTTATAAAACAAAATCTGTCTTTGTTTTCATTCAAAAAGCAATGCATGTAGCTTCAATGTGTTTGTAGTCACTGTGAATTATAGAAATAACTTTTCACCATACCAAAGTTATAAATTGACTTTTTTAAATTAGTAGTATAAAAGTATCATTTCACATACGTAATAAGGTTTAAATCAGTTTTACAGTAACTTAGATATAGTTTTTACATTTCTTTTTGACGATTTTCTTGTTCATTCAAACAGTTACTTTGGCTGATAAGGCATAATTCAAACAAATCCTATCAAAGGATCCTTGATGGGGAAACAAGACTTGATATGGTCAAGTGCAAAATGAGTTAGCTAAGCCTACTTCATCTTGTTTCACAAAAAAAGTTTATTTTCTATCATGCTTTAACATCATAATTGAAATGAAGCATGAAATGATAAAGCAAACTTTAAACAAAATGAGGACTGTAAATTTGGTGGAAATTGTTCAAAGGTGTCGTTTCTTCTAATAACATATCACCAAGCTATGCTTTATAATTTTGTTTAAAATTCAAAAGAAAAGTTATTACATCATACCATGAAAACTAGGATTGAGAAACAGTGATTGGCTAAAAAATTATAAACTACACTTGTATTCAAGTTATAAGTACAAATTATCCATATTTGTTTCAAAACTAGAAGAACTTTCCTCCTAGGGGGCTATGAATGCCTTATTATGCTTAGACAAATTTCAGTAAATCCTAAACACTAATGATTTCATTGGGAACATGCCAAAAGAAAAGGATCAGTTTGGCTTACCTCCATGTTTTTCAAGGAAAAATTCATTATTAAAGATTATTATGTATTTGTATCTTTGAATAGCGTGATGATTCTGCCTACTTCAGAACGTAAAAAACATAATATTGGGACTGAAGATACTCCTTCCTAAAATGTGTTCTTTATTGTGTAAAAGTATGAAAGTTGAAACTAATTAATGATCTTGTAAAATTTATTTTAAAAGCTACGAAAATCTTGCAAAGACGGTATATGCCTAATGGACCTCCGTGGACAAAGTATCAGGGACTAGTCACAACTACTACAGCTTATCGAATTGTAATTGGACCACCTGGTGAAGGAAGCGATTCAGGGCTTCGAGGATCTACTAATGAAGGAGGGGGCAAGTCGGGACGAGGAGGTAGTGGAGGAGGGAGAGATGGTCAGCTATGCTGTCCTAAATGTGGCAATCCTTGCACACATGTTGAAACATTTGTATGTAAGTGAATCAAATTTGTTTCATAACCAAAACTTATTAATATTCTTAACTCTTACAAGAAATGCTGATGTTTTTTTTTAAAGCAAATTCATTTGTTGATAATAAAGGAACGAATACTGTATTTAGTACTGGTACTTTTAACTGGTTTTTTCCCCATTATTATTGGAGTACACTTTTACAGTCAATGTATGATTGGGAAGTTTTATGTATGTTTTACTTTACAGCTTCTACTAGATTTGTTAAGTGTGAAAAGTGTCATCATTTCTTTGTTGTTCTCTCTGATGTCGATTCTAAAAAAACCTTGAAAGAAAATAGACACATGGGGAATGAAAAGGCAGGGATCCAAAGAAAGCCCCCTCCACCTCCTAAAAAGGTAACAACAAATTTATATGTACATGTTATAAAGCATATCAAGTAATTGTTTTAAAAATATATAAATTGGTTCATATGGGAAGCTAACTTTCTTTTCTGCCTTTGAACACCATTGTCATCTCTGTCTGACTTTAAACTGCTTCCTTCTACTGGTATGTTCTATCTCTGTCTGACTTTAAACTGCTTCCTTCTAAACTTCTTGTGTAACCAGAGGGTCCACCATGTGAGTAATGACAGTACTTCTTGTGTAACTAGGGGGCCCACCATGTGAGTAATGACAGTACTTCTTGTGTAACCAGGGGTCCACTATGTGAGTAACGACAGAACTTCTTGTGTAACCAGGGGGTCCCACTATGTGAGTAACGACAGAACTTCTTGTGTAACCAGGGGGCCCACTATGTGAGTAACGACAGAACTTCTTGTGTAACCAGGGGGTCCACTATGTGAGTAATATTCCCTCGATTACCTGCATGTGCAATGTTCCAAGATTTGTTTTACTTGTAACCTGAACAGTAAGGGGGTCCACCACGTGAGTAATGACAGTACTTCTTGTGTAACCAAGGGGTCCACCATGTGAGTAATGACAGCAACTCTTCATTACTAGATTTTTCAAGTTCATTGGGCAATTAGGCTTATACATAAAGATGAAGGTTTTTTTTCCACATATTCTTCTGAATTTGTTTCTGTTCTAAATTCAAGGATGAGAAGTTTCTTTTGTGCAGAGTTTTTGTTCATTGACAGCTCTGTTAAGAATTTGGAAATGTCCCATTTATAAAGGAAATCATATTATTATTAATTACTCAGACTTTCCGATACATGTTCCAAATACTGTTGTTTTAATTCCAAGAAACCACCCACATGGAGTGTGTTTAAACTTCTGGGAGGAATCACATCTAGTTCTATATTACAGAGGAAAAAAGCCTAAATCCTTCAGCCTCTTGAACTTCTTAAAGTTAGCTTTCAATAGCCAGTGTTTGCTCTTTCCACTTTGCCGACATTCTTTATGTTGTGAGGGGACTAGATCTACACACAGTGAAGATTCACAGTGTCTAATAATTGGTGGTAAAATAGATAAATAGATAATATTGTGTTATCAATCCTTACCATAATTCGTATTTGTAGATGACTTGTATAAATAACTCTTTACCAACTTAATTGAGCTCACATCATAACAGTTGCTCATGCAACTTGAACTATAAACCACTACTGTGTCTGTCTTATCCAAGCTGGTCCGAGGAGCCCTGGTATCGGGCAGAAGGCTTCATCGGCTCTTGATATAGCAGACATATTCTTTACTTCCACTGTTTAGAATTGGAAAATGTTAAGGTAACTTTCTTACTGTTACTTCAAAATTTCTATAAGTAGATCTCAGAATCTGCTATACTCTCATTTTTTTTATTTACCCTAGGTAAATAATTCACACATATGATATAATTAATATTCTTAAGCATATACCCTAGTCGCTCTGTGGCAAGTCTGAAGAGTTATAATGCTAAAAACCGGGTTTCAATACCCATGGGGGGCACAATACAGATAGCCCATTGTATAGTTTTGTGCTAAATAACAAATTCAAACATATATGAACACTATAGCAATATGCAAATTCTCCTTTATTTTTTCTCAGTGCCTGTGCTTTTTTTAATACAAGGAGTGAAAACATACCAAACCTAGGTACCTCAAGTGAACCTTGTTTTACACGTGGCTTAGTCATTAGAACTGTCTAAACTCTTTGGAGTAAGAGAAACATTTTCAACAGTATTGGCCAGTCTTGGGTCCTTAGAATGTGATGTAAGTTTGAAAATGTTCCACTTAAAGAAGCTGTGTAGAACGGTTAACACAAATAAATGCTGTAGATCCCAAAACAGACTTCTGAGGGACCTTACTACTGACCTTACTTCAATGAAAACAAATCATATATTTTATCACTCATTTTGTTTCTACTCCCAAGCCAGTTTCCAGTTAACTTTTTCCATCAGTTCTGTAATCCAGCATTATTTTAGAAATCTAGTCATAAAATATCCAAACTCTGGTAATGTTATTAGAAAGGTTTAAGAGGTGATAAAGTGCTTATTTTGTTGATAAAAAAAACACCAGATATATGAACTTGTGGTGGCATATTGAAGGTAGTGACTATGAGATTGTTTCTTTTTTTTGATATGGAGATTCTTGTATAATGAGTTGTACGTGGTGTAAGTTGGTTGGTACAGAATGTTTTAAAAAATGTCCAAAGGTAACGTATAGAAAAAAAAAAGTCTTTTCTGTAATGTTTTGATTAAAATTATACACTGGTAACCAAAGTAATAATACAAGATTTGTAAAAAACGTTTCAAAATTGAAATGTTTTAATATCTCTAAGAACCACAAGTATTTTTCTTGAGGTGTAGTATTAGTAGTATTAAGTATGAAAGTAGAAATTACAATATACTTCAACCAGTGCTTAATTTCTAAGAGAAAAAAAAAAAGGTTTTGGATCCCTGTTGACAGGTGGGAGCTGAGTTTTGGAAGATAAAAATTTAAATATATTGGGGCTTGTATTTGGAATAGGCTGGAAGAACTAATGTAATTGATTAAATCACAATTGGGAATTGAAATAAGACAGTCTTAAAATTAGTGTTTAGATAAAAAAAAAAATATCCCAAATGAATTCTGGATCTTGGATCTAGCAGAAATTAAGCATTGGCCGAGAAAAAATTTGATTTTGAAAATAATCCTGAATGCTCAAGAAGCTGTGTTATAGCCAGTGAAAATATTATTGTGAAATTAATTATTTTATTCAATACGAATTATCAGAATAATAGTCAACAGAGTAATAAATATTTTATCAGTTTCACTTTTTGTGAAGTAATAATCAATTTTAACTAATAATCTTTTTGTTAGCTTCCATTTTAATATTGTTTTCTGAAAAGTTTTACCAGTATTGGTTGTATTTTCATTATATCTTCTTTGGATCAGTAAACTATCTTGTCACTTCTATTAACAATATGTTGACAGGCTGATTTAATTGTGGTAACTCTTTTAATACAAGATCTGTTGCTCAACTAGAGATGCCTTGGTAACAGGGATTGGACATAAAAAATCTGAGTTTTATCCACCTCTGGTGAAACTTATACACAATGAAGTATAAGGTGAACTACAACAAATCAGATACAAATAGAACGAATGATGATTGGTCACATCATCAGCAGAAACTCCATAGTTAATGACAGTACTTCTTGTGTAACCAGGGGGTCCACTATATGAGTAACGACAGAACTTCTTGTGTAACCAGGGGTCCACCATGTGAGTAATGACAGAACTTCTTGTGTAACCAGAGGGTCCACCATGTGAGTAATGACAGTACTTCTTGTGTAACCAGGGGGCCCACTATGTTAGTAATGACAGTACTTCTTGTGTAACCATTGAGAGTAACTGATGAAATATTTTTTGAGCTCTGAAACCTAGTTAAAAAAACTAGTTAAATCTAATAATGAAGAGTTGTTGAGAGTAACTGATGAAATATTTTTTGAGCTCTGAAACCTAGTTGTCGAGCGCCCTAACCACCTGGCCATGCCGAGCCCCAAAAAAGGACAGATACGTCGATATTTTCGTGAGACAAAAATAGCAACCCTCTTGTTCATTGCTCCCTCCTCCCGGTGGTTCAGCGGTAAATTTTACGGACTTACAATATTAAAATCTAGGGTTCGATTCTACACGGTGGACAGAGGACACATAGCCCATTGTGTAACCTTTCGCTGAAACAAAAGCTGTTTACTATAGCTTAATACTGTAACCAGAATTAATATTACACCAATGCCAAACTTAGGTTTTAAGCTATAAATTCCAGTTATGTGTGTGTGTGAACGAATGACTGGAGAAAGCTAAATAAGAAACTAGGACACAACCTCGGTATCCTTATAGCTAGTTACGGCCACGTTATAGCTGTAAATATTCACCCGATATGTAATTTTATCAGAGTGCTCTGCAAGTTTTTTATCAGACCTAGTTCTGAGTTCAATATATTCAAAGTTTATAGTTTGATACAGTATATGTCTAGATATTATCTAAAATATTTTAAAATAATTACTTAGGTGTTTTATATTGAAAGCAATAAACCTTTCGTGGGATATTCAATTATATTTATTAACGATTGTTGTTCCCAAACTAAGGTTCAGCTGTTATGACGTCAGTTTCAGCTTCTGTTATCGCGAAAGGTAAAAAAAGTGAGTATTCGTATTACTGTTTCTCGATGAGGAAGGATATTTGTGGTGTTTATTAATTGTTACGCAACGAATTATTAAGGTCGAAACATTATCAGGTATTGGTTTGTTATGGTTTAATTTTTATGTTTGTATGTACTATGGATACAAATAGGCCTGTGTTTCAGTTTAATTCTTTGGTTTAGTTACTATTAATTAGTTTTCTGTTCTAAAATATTGCATTTGCACGTGATCCAATATTGAGTACAACTACTAATACTATTATTAGTGAGATTAGTCTCTGTTCATAGTCGTAATTACAAAGTTGAATGGACCTAGTATTAAAGTTTTGTGAAGTTTAATGAAAGTGTAAATTAACTGTAATAATAACATAGTAATCTTTAAAATTAAAGAATAGCTTAAATAAAATTAGTTTGAAGTTAGTGACACTAACATTACATCATTAGTTAGGCTTAATAAAAATAATTTAATGCTAATAGTAATTAATTTAGTTTTATTATTATTCGACTTTTACTAGGAAATATATTAACATTTATGTACCATTTGAGGTAATATTACTACAGTAGCACAAAAACATAGCACATCACTTGGTAACTATGAATGACTCGTAACCTTGTTTTGAATTTGAGAGTGCATTATCATAAAGCTAAAGTTTATGTACTGATGTAGTGATGAAATAGCAACAAGCCAGTATTATGTAGCAAGTATATTCCATTTTTATGACTACAGCCTGTGACAACTAGTTGTTATGTAAGGGTTCTTGCTTCATATTAACTAAATTTCTTGATATGTTACTGTGGCAACAAATGGGTGATTTTGATAACATCATAAATAAGGAATGATGAACACA